GTTTGAGCACCGGCACCGTTTCAAAAGTACCGATTTGGCACCGGTATCGGATAAAACCTAAACGATACCCATCCCTACACCTATGGTATCAATTTTAAAATCCTACATCATCTTGTTCTTGAGTTAGCGCATTCATAAGGTTTTCAGAAAACGTAACCTCTAACCAGAGGTCAGAAGTCACTGAGATCCAAAATGTTTAGTAGATGCACCCACGGTATCAATTTGAAGCGCCAATATCATCTTGTTCTTGAGTTATCGCATTCACAAACTCAGTGTGAGAATTCAATGCTTTTATACGCTCATGTTACTGTGGATATCTGGAGGAGAGAAACTGCACCAAACGTCTTTGTGATGAAATTGTATCAATCTTTACTGATTTACTCTTTATTTACTCATGGTTCACTTTATTGAGTAAGACTGGCAACAAGTCATCAATTAAAACCTTAAAATCAATTCTAAAATTGCATGGTAATAAGAATGATAGGAATAAGCTGTACTTTATGTAGACTTATGACAACTTTCAAAATAAAAGAGGAAATAAAAGCATCCATGACCATCTCTAGATTTCCTTTTTGTATAAAACTGAGCTGCATTACTGAGTCTCCGGAGCTGCCTAAAACATGACTGAACATCTGAGCTGACAAGCTTTTTGTGACTGAAGTGATCAAAAATGACACCAAGGTTTTTACAATACGGCCCCATATTTAGTGAATGAGAGCCCAAATGTGTTTTGGTATATGTGTTAGGTGCTTCCATTGTACTGTTTTTCATAATTTAAACAAACTGGCCACACCCTACAAAAGCAGTTTACAACAAACAATCTGAATAGTAACTTTAATCTAGACTTCTTTTTCTTCAAATGAGTGGTTCAAATAACTGAACTGGGAATCTGTGCCTGCGTGCACTTGATGCTAAATTATGTGCTGCTGCTGTGTCTTTACTATGAAGCTGCTGAGTTAAATATTAAATAAGGCTGTAAAACCACAACTTTATTACTCAGTAAGGGACAGAATAATTTAACCTGAGCATTACCTCAGCAGGCTGGAAAGAGACAACTTTACAATTTAATAATGCAGCTGTTATAGCAGATATCTGCTACCTTTAAATAAGATGTTTTCTTTAACATTCTCATTTATATAGATGAAAGAAGATGGAAGAACAAAACTTGTAGGGGACTCCAGACAGGCAGCACAGGTACACCTAATAATGTGGCTTCTGAGTGCATGTGCCGTGATCCGCATGAGACACAATATATGCGTCACTGACTGACACCTCTGCTAATGACAGCAGACAGTAATGACAGGACAGCTGTAATGTTGCAGTGACAGTGATAATGGGTGAAATCAGGATAGCATACAAGTCCAGCTTTCTCACAC